AACCCGCTGCGCCACCAGGGAGGGCCAGAGCATTTTGTTTTTGAGCTTATCTAATATGTAAACTGGGGAAGAAAACTTAACAGAGGGGTTTAAATATTATTTTGCAAAACTATACTTTTCTCTGAGGTGCTTGTTAATTCATATGTTAGAGTTCTCTAGACTATTATTACTCTCTTTTCCTTCATTCTTCTGTATTTGCTTTGAGGTATTATAAATTTTCAGTGTTCTATTGAGTAAAAAACAAAGTACTACAGAATTTTCAGGAGTAAAGGAGTAAGAGTCACCATTCAGATTTCACTGTATTTCTCATTTGTAAGACGTAAAGAGTAAAAACTAGATATAATATTGCTCCTAAGTATGAGTTAGAATTGGAATTGCAGAGCTAAAAGCATTTAATATTTCTAAGAAACTTGCAAAAAACCAAAAAGGGGATGAATAGATCTGTAGTTATTCTATCTTTATGTTTGCTTAGAATTTTTAATTTTTCAGCCCACAAAGATGACTCTTAAAATAAATGTTTGTATGAAATAACTTCTGTTTGTCAACTTACCTTAAGTGAATGCTATTTGGAATTCTAGCATCATGTAAACTTTTTTTTTTTGTAAGAAGCAGCTAAGTACTGTGATAATTTTTCATCATCTTTTTATATGTGCTGGAAATTGTTTCTACTAAAGATATCTTTTTTTTTTTTTTAAAAGATTTATTTATTTGTGCATACAGAGCCGGGGTACAGGCTAGAGGTACAGGGCTGAGAGGCTTCACCAGAGACAGAGTGGGGAACAGAACAGGCAGATCAACGAAGTACACTGCTGAGGGGAGGAGCAGGCAGGTCAGGAGAGGTCTGCCACACCATGTGGTCACCCCAGGCAGGAATTGAACTCATGGGGAAGCTGCTTTAGATTCTCAGTGCTGTGCTTTAACCCGCTGCGCCACCAGGGAGGGCCTCTACTAAAGATATCTTTTAAGTGGAGTGTTTCAATCAGTCTTTAGTTCAGCGTAGATATTATAAGTTGTAATATTTTTGCTTTGTTATGTTTTCCTTGTTAAATTCTCTAAAATCAATGTTTTGAGACTGTCTGAAATAATTATAAATTATTAAGCACAGTTTTGCAGGTGAGCTCTGTGTATTTTGTTTAGTTCCATTTCTCTTTCCCTTTAATAGTAACATGTCCAAGTAAGATAAAATAAACTTTAATTCCTTCAAATTAGAATCGCTACACTATTAAATAATAGTGACTAGTATGTGTTCTGCTTATAAAAAAAGAAAGTATCAGAATGTGGTATAGGATTGATATTGGTCACTAATTTTTTCCATGTCTGTCATATATAAATGTTTCCACTTTAGACTCGGGAACAAGAGGAATTGGAAGAAGCTTTAGAGGTAGAACGACAAGAAAATGAACAAAGAAGATTGTATATACAAAAAGAAGAACAGCTGCAGCAGATTCTAAAAAGGAAGAATAAGCAGGCTTTTTTAGATGAATTGGTATGTATTAATGCTAATTGTGATAAAAAGTATTAGTCTTGGGGGATTTTTCTTTCCAGTTTATTATGTTGGATAATGGAATTTCTACAGTATTTGTACTGATGTATTCTACTTGTTTTCATTTACTTTCAAAATAAAAGTCACTGTCTACATAAATTTTTCAGATGAAAGTATTATAATTGACATAAACCAATTATTAGTAATAGACTGTTCTAAGTTTAATGATTAAAGTACATTGCTTTCAGACTATTTTCCTTCCATTAATGCTATTTTTTAAGAACTAGAATATTTTCAAGGGGTTGGGCTCCATGCTAAAGTGACTCTAGTTTGTCTGAGAATTTTATTTTGTATTTTGCATAAGAAAACATTTATTTTAAAAATGTAGTTAATTTCTTTAAATTGTGGCAATGTTGGTTTATCACGTTTTATAGGTATTAGGGTAGGTCTACATCTTTTCAAGTGTTATATACCATATTATGCCTACCAGCCAAGTACGTGTAATTCTCCACCATAGTCTTTTGGGCACTTTCCATCCTTTGTTTTTCATCTACCATTCTCCCTTCTGTGGCCTCATTTCTACAGTCAGATTCCAAGGTTTTTTTTTGTTTGTTTGTTTTCTGTTCTTTTGCTGTTCTGTGCTTTGATTCAATGTGTATGTGAGGTGAGAATGTAAAGAAAAATTGTAAAGACATTAAATTGGGCTTAGACAGAGATGCTTATCATAAAAACCTATCTACATTTTTTTTTTTTTTTAAAGATCTACTCATTTGTGCATACAGAACTGGAGTACAGGTCAGAGGCTCAGGGGAGGTGAGAGGCTTCACCAGAGACAGAGTGGGGAACAGAACAGGCAGATCAACGAAGTACACTGCTGAGGGGAGCAGCAGGC